AAGCTTGTCTGCTGCCTTTCGTGTCTCGCACACACATACACACTCATACAACCGCGTTTGTGTTCAGCTATGTAGCAGAAGTGTTTAAGTAGTTTTTGTTTCTTCGCTTGCTACTTCCGCCATAACAATTTTGAGAAATAGCAGACATTTGTCTCAATGCTGTAAATTATTCGTGACACGCCAGCACACACCTACACTTACACATACAATCAAGACCAAACACACTTACACACACTCCACACACCTCTGCAGCTCTGCTATCTTTCGTACAAAAACAGCACTAGCTGTCAGACAAAATATCTCCACACACACACACATATGCGCGCGATCAATTTGTCAGCCATTTGCATGGCACACACACACATACCGTCAACTCATTTCTGACTTCTGCTCAGCGTCGCACATCAACCAGCGCTTAATTTAGTTACTCGACTAGCGCAGACAAGCAGCAACTAAAACAAAATCAGAAACATAGCGAATTTCTGTAACAATATATGTGGTGTTTGTGTGTGTGCGGTCATGCTTTCCATCTGCGTTGAGTTACATTCTAAGCCTGTCATGCAAATTATATTTTAGTTTTCATGCACACCGTTCGAACGTGACTTTGTCGCTTTTATTGACTTCTGTCGAAACAATACGCTCCGGCGCGCTTTTTGGGCGCACAAATAGTTCTTCCCTCCTCGCTGGTTGCCGTGGCAGCACTTTGCACGTACATGGCGTGAAATCTATGCTAAATTTATAGAAAAAATATATTGAATATTTTTGGAAATATTGTGTACGGCTCACTACATTTTTGCATGCGCGGATTACATAGTTTGGAAATGCTGAAATTTCACTGTGGTAACTAAACTAATTCCGAACTTTAATGGTGATTTGGCAATATTAAAGTAAGGGTTTTTATAGCAATCGCATATCACAAAAAAAGGGATAATTTAAATTTGAAATTACTTCATTTAAAAAAGATTTTGGTATTATATTTGAAACATTTTCTTTTAAGCAATTTATGGCCTGAAATTACTCATTTTAGTACTAAAACACACTACTTAGGTTAGGTTAGAGGAATATAACTTAGACTGTGATGTTCATATCCATAGTGAAACTAAAAAAACAGACTCCTTGAGTCCATAAAAAAGACAAGTAAAAACTCCTCTGGTTCGATATTAGCTATCGGAAAATCGGCCTAAGCCTATCACACATATGCTTTGGAGGTTTATTTCAATTTTCAATAATTCTGCTGGATTTCTAAAAGTATGAGATCTGTAGTATTTCTGTCCTGATACGCAAATGCGGGATATTTGAGGAAAAAGTTGGTGATCCCATCTCATTTTCTTCCAAACGCTGGCATCCGGTAAGATTTTCCGGTAACACGTTCAATTCCATGATTCTCGAGCAGACAATGTCCAGGCAGAACTTCTACAACTATAAACAGTTTGACTTGCTGAGAACGTAAAGCTATATAGACCTCTTTCGCTTAAAGCTGAGCTAGAAGAACCTTTCAATTGCGCATCTGCTGCTATTCGATCTTCACTTGCGCTGTCCTGAGATCCAAGAGTAGTAAATTACAAAAAACCAACGAAGCTCCTACCGGTTCCCATTCTGCAGATATTCAGAGTGATGTTCCTGACCTAGCACGCTCAACCGCCTTATATTCTCCTGCAACCCGAAATAGCAAAGCAAAACAACTCAAATCAGTACTCTATAACAGATCGATGCTCGAAATAAGGAGCCTAGATATTCCTTCACTATCTTGAAGGCACACAGATGGCGTGGAAAGTCACTACTCTGAAAGTCGCTGCGTCCCGGTGCGTTGTATCCACTGATACCTTTATGGCAGCCACCTCCGCTTGTAGACGCTGTAGTAGCAAAAAAGCCAAAAACGGGGGGGGTAGCGGGAAGTTCCTTGCAGTGACTGCTCCACCAACCCTCCTCGTAGCATTTAATCAATCCGTAAAATATCTCACAGCCCCTGTCCTCGAACGAAGCCTTCATGCCTCCCTCGAAGGTATGTAAGCAAAGAAACGACAGCTAGGACTAGGCTAGGCGACCTGATAATCCAAATATGTTAGAATAAAATCAAAGTGTTTAGAGCGCTCAGAGAATAAAACTTTTCGTTTCTTTTTCCTGGCTGGAAAAGGCTGCGCTCACGACTCGAAGTAAATTTGTAAATTAATTTTTTTAATAAATTGTTATAAATATATTTATCTAAAAGTTCATTAGGTGCTTTCTTTCTGCATATAAATATGTATATTCACTAATGTGGTAATATTTTATCATAAAAGCTTACGCATAAATAATTATTTCAATAAATATAATTTTCTATTAAATATTAACACCATAAATCGTCCCGCAAAGCAGCTCACACTTGAATTTAATGCAAGATAAAACGCTACGTGCCGAAATTTGTCGAATTTGCAATTTTTTGATTAATGGTTGGATAGAAAAAAAGATATAGATTCGAATTGAAACTGCCTCTCTATCTCCTCTCTCAGTAGATGAATATGATAAGTACAAAAAAAACGGGTTTAAATACAATCAGAGTGTTTGTGGTTGCGATTGCTAATTTACTGCTATTCAATTTTAGTTTTTCTGCTGTATGCACGCATACAAAAAGCTTCGAAAGGTTGACATTTCCTTCCGTTGCCTCTCACTTTCCCGGTTATCAACTGTTTGTGTTTTCACTCCACTATGCACGTAGCCCTAGGATTGCCACAAGCTACTGCTGTCGGCCATAATGTAATTAAAATCAAGATATCTCTCAGATTAAATGAAGTAATGCATTTCCAATGATTTCAGGATTTGTTTAAATGTTAATTATAGATGTTCTTAAAAGATCTACCCTTACTTGAAAGGATATTTCCCAATTGTCGAATCAATGCTGTGGAATAAGTATTATGTTTTCTTCAGAACTACAGGTTTTCAGAAGAAAAAAAAAAACTTTTATCAAATGTGGTATATGTTCTTTAAACTCAGCCAAAAATACCGAAAGGTCAAATAAAATATTGCATAATTATATTCATTAAGATGTTATTTCCACTACAGAATTTTGCACTATAATTCATGTTATTGGTTTTTTATATTATATTTTTCGATACTGCGCAATATTTTTTGTTTAGATTTATTCTTACCATTATCTGTCCTGTTATATATTTTTACATGATCGAAAAATATTGCATATTAAAGTTTTGCTTAGATTTTTTACTAGAGAAAAATGTTCCATTGATATATATTTTTCTGCTTTCATAGTATTTCAAAAATATTGCACAATAAAATTATTTTTTATTGTCATAGTATTGGAAAAATATTGTATGATAACTTTTTTTTAGATTTTTATATATCCAAAAAATATTCTACAACTTCGAATACCACTGCGTACTGTATATTCAAATGTTGTGAGTTTTTCTCCTCATATAGCCCGAAAAGATATTCCATTAATAGCCGCTAAATAAAGTGTTAAATATATAGTATGTAGGTATTTTGTACGTTTTTCTTCATATCAAAGCATTCTAAAAATTTACAATTTTGACATCAATTCTCTACTTACATAACAGTGTCTGTAATATTGAAAAAATGCACGTTTATTTACTTAACACAATTCGTTCAATTGTATCAATATATTATTATATGTAAAGTATTTATAATTTTTTTCTCCATAAAAAATGTAAAATATTTGAGGTCTGGCATGTAAAGGGTGTTTATTTCAAATCTAACAAAGCAAAAAATAAATGGAATTTCAAATATGAGTCAAATGAGTTTCCAAAGTTTTAGCTTTTAAAGTATTATACTGTAAAGCTCTTCCACTTGGCATAGCTTCATGACCTAAGCTACTTTACAGGCTTACAGGCTACGTTTTGATTCGAGTTGGATGTAGAGCACCGAAAATTCGCAATTGCTTTACCAGTACAGCTCTCATGAATAGCAAAGTTTTCTTAGTTTCTTAATCACTAAAAGAATAACAATCTCGTTTTTTTTTTAACAGAAGAGTTTTAAATCTGTCAAATTTATATCACAAAAAATATTGCACAATAATTTTTGGTTTAGCATTTAGTACTGTGTACTTCTTTTGTTAAATTTGTATAGAACGTAAAAATATTGCACAATATTTTTCATTTAGATTTTTTGCTAACGAAAACTAGTGCACAATAATTTTTTGTTTGGATTTATACAAATATTTATTACCAAAAAATATTGCACAATAATTTTGTTCACATATGTGAGTTTTTATACCAGCAGAAAGTATGCATAACAATAATTTTACATATGGATTTTGATATACTTAGACTTTTATGCTACCGAAAAAATATTGAACAATAACTATTTTTAAATTTTTATATTATCAAAAGACACTGCAAAATAATGTTGTTCAGCCAATGAAGCACATGAAATTCGGGATGGCAGTCTGGCCGATAACAATAGCTAGGCAAAATTGTGTAGCTTTAAATGTTCTAAAAATTAGGCGTAGATCCTCCTCATAATAAGTTTATAAACGCTCCTCAATGCCTTGAGTTGGTTGTAGGAGACTAAGAAGTCGCGAATGATTTGTCGGTAAACCTCACCATGAACAGTAAGGTTTTCTTAATTTATATTGCGCAGTAATTTTATTCACATATGTAAATTTTTATACAAAATGAAAGATTGTACAATAATTTTTTTTTATGAATTATTATATGTTTTTAGTCACTGTTTTTAAATTACTTAATCACCACAAAACGAAAAATCTCAACCATTTACCAAACCGACTTTTAAGTCCGTCAAATTATACTCAATATAAATATAAATTCTGACAGCTACTTGGACAGCTAGAAAACTCCTGCCTTCCAGCAATTTATACCCAACTTAAAGCACCCTATATTGCTGATTATGACATGTAGTTTTGATATGCATTAAAATATAAATATTTATTTACAATCGTAAATGTTCGATTTCAATTGCGACTAAACAAAATTTATTTCTGTATTAATTTCACACAATCTAAATTTACAAACATTCAATTTATTTTGCAGGTTTCATTGGCAAAATCAACAAAAAACACATTCACCGGTTATGGCGTCGGCAGCGCCAATATGGATGCTGACATTGTACAATATGACATACCGAAAAACTCTTACAAACGAGCCAATACGGACATCAATTACGAGGTGATTGTTTAGATGAATATTGACACACACCACACACACACACACATGAGCAGATGCATAGCCGGCCGATTTATTTATTTAAATATTTAAATTGGTGCAAATTAGATTTTGCATTAAACATTTGCTCGCTGGTAATCTCAGCGGAGATTTCACGTTAAATTCTGAACTGATTTCCAACTCAATCAATAAATGTCATATAGCCATACTTGACACACATAAATGTTCGATTGGCATGGGGCGATATTCAGCGTTGTGTCAGTGAGGCAGAACTTTGTAATTTAGGCGATTAAATATTTGAAAGTTTTTGTGAAATATTTAAGCACATAATGTGCGAATTGCTTTTGGAAAAGCGTGAAAATATATAATGTTGCATTCAAGTTGCACAAAAAATGTGAAATAATATTTATCTAAAAACCCATAAAATTTAGTTAAAAAAAATATGTTTAATTTACGTGAAAAACTGACAGTTAATTTTTATACAAAACCTTTTTTTCCATACCAAATAAAACCATTTACGCTTTCTGTGTAATTAAAATTGTTTTAAATTTTTTTTTTTTTTTTTTTTTTTGTGTAAAATAAACATTTAAACCGCAAGCAATATGTTGTAAGCCGCAATATTTGTGCGAAATTTTACAATTTTCTATTTGTAGTTGCAACCAAATTTTAG